TCTTTAAAGTGACCCTTCGTCATATGGTGTTTATTGTAAACCATTGGATAAGTAAAATGTTATCAAGAATGCGAGTTGAACGACAAGACGTCGAGGATAACTGGAAAACAATAGTCAGAACTGCTTATGGTATGTTTATAAGCAGTCATTTAGGACAATGCCTTAACCAGCAACCATATTTGTACCTAAAGATGCTGGTATCTACAGAGACCACATGAAAAGAGTCAGATGGTTCAGAAGATGTGGTACGCAAAAATGAAGGAAGGGTAGGATAAAATAGAGGAAAAAATCAAAATAAACGAAGCGTTAAACTATCGAGTCTGAATCATTTGCTGAAACAGCAACTTTTCTGGTCGCTACTGCAACTATCATCTCTACCTTCATCATCACTATCAGCATCATCATCATCATCATCATCATCATCATCATCATCATCATCGTCAGCAGCAGCAGCAGCGTCGCCATCTTTATCATTGTAATCATTGCTTTGATGACCGTCATCTGCAATCCAGCAGAAACAATGTTGAAGGAACGAAGATAAGTCAGATAAAAAATTATTCTGAATATAGCAGCAGAATAAGAAATTTGTTGCTACATCTATCAATAATTTTCCATGTGCTAATTAGTAGCATTCGTAAACGTGTAGAAAAAAATCTAATTAGTCAACAAAACACTTCAACTCGTTAGGTTGTCACAGAGCAGCAAAATAAAAAAAAACTAGAAAAATGAAGAAATATTATAAAACGGAAAAGCTATGAAAAGATAGCAAAATAAAGATTGAAAACACAGAAGAGTTTTCAAGCTGAATATAAATGTGAGAATAAGGCAAGAATAAAGATGAAAGAATAGAAATAAGAAAGAAGAAATATAATTAATTAAAGGCAAATAAGAGCTCGCAAATTCATTTAATATCAATCCCTTAAATACCAGCGTAGCCGTTATAAGGTTTGCTTGGGAACTTTGAACCGTGAATATTCCTGGAATGACCAAGAAATTTTCTTACCAATTTGCTTTTTTCTTTTGTTTACTATATTTTATTTAAGGAAGAAAAAACCTTTTTAATATACAAATTTTTTTGTCTGATTTTACGCTTGGATTTAGTCAATATTGTGTTGACGATGATGGTGGCTGTGGTAGTGCTGGTGGGAATGAAGCAGAAAGAAGGCAAACATTTTTCTTCCTCTGGATGTCCTGGATGATTGGCTTAAACGCTTCAAATAAAACTGGGCACTATCCCAACTGTCCTTGGGAACGAACGAACATATACATACATTTGTTATTCGATATTAGCAACAGCCAACAACAAAATCGCTATCACCACTATTACTACCAACCAACACCAACCACCAGAAGGAACAAAACTAGAGTCTGCAGCTAAGGTACGGATAAAGACAGTTTTTGGAAACAGGACAACACTGCAGTTGAATATACTGTAGTTGCGATAGTGCTATTCGATACAATGAAACTATTTTGGATGCCAAAGTTCACAGAACCGCGCGAACGGTGGCATTTGGCGGTTTACGGTATTACTGTCTTAAATCACAATTACTTAGCGCAGATTCTCTATCAGTTTAGACTACATTATTAATTTGGCATACCTCAACATTGGGATTAAGCAGTTGGTGACGAAAACAGTCGTTGGTTAGAATAAATGGGGGAAATTTTAAAGGAAATTTTTGAACCTTTTTATATTGGACTAAAACTAGACCTGTTAGCAGTAATAATAAAGACGTTAAATAATTGAATGCAACGAATAAAGCTTAACTCTTGGTGGTGTGTATGTGTCTGAAAAACCAATATACATGCAGATATATGTAATGTAAAAAGTTTAGTAGTCAATAAACCAACCCAAACTACCTATTGTTATATCGCATAACAGATTAGCCCTTTTTTTTCTTCCCGCCCTTCTTCCCCTCTCCTTCTATCCGCTCCATCCAATTCCTTCTCACTGTTGCGTTGTTTTTCGAACAGAAATGTAATAGAATAGCGGTGTATCAATAATAAGGATGGTAGAATAGATAAAATTCGATTAAACTTTGTTTTTTCCACTTATTTATTTTTATTTTTTTATTTTTGCATCTCACAATTAATGCAACTGCATATAACATACACAATTACCACCACCACCACCACACACACAAACACAAACCCGAGCACATGCATAAACACAAAAACACATGCATACACACAAATTACACACACACACACACACTCACACACACACAAACGCGTATAAATACACCAGCTTTTACTTTTGCTTTTATATTCGCTTACACCGTCTATTATTTTTAGCAAATTAACTAATGAGTTTAGACTGGAAAAGCTTGATTTTTGTAGAGGAATCAGAACCAAAGAGAAAGCAAGAAAATACTGTTTTTTTTTTTCAGTTTTTTAATCATCGGTGTTGCCGTTTTCTTCTCTTTTTTTTTTTTTTTAATTTAATTTTTTCTTCTATTTCAAGAAAAAAAAAATTCAATAACGATTTTTCTGTTCAAATCAATCTTTTGTTTGTATATATATATATATTTTTGCCTAGTTTTTATCTTTTTTTTTTTTTGCTCTTGTTTTCAATATGGTCTTCTATAGACCAGTTAGTTAGAACTCTTTGTTCATTTTCCTTTTTTTTTTTACGTTTAGGAAATTAATTACTGACATTAATAAACCAAATTGGTCAAACATTATATCACACACAGCTTGATTTAACCAAGGTTTATTCTGCAAAAAAAGATTTTTTCTTTCGAACATAAATTGGAAATTTGAAGTATTTAGCGTATTTATCTTAATTCACAAATTATTCTTCTAGCATCATCATCATCATCATAATCATCGCCGTCAACATGATTAGAAAAAAAAAACCATTTGTTGTTCTCTCCCTATTTTTTTTCTCATTTATATATTTTTTAACCGTATACTTAAGCAACAGCAGCGGTTCCTAATAGCAACTCTTCGACTTTTATCTGAATAGAGTATAACAAAAGAAAAAGTATTCACAGGAGAGCGAATAAAGTGTAAACGATGAATAAGAAAACAGAAAAAAGAACTGAAAAATAAATCTAAAATTATTGCGCAAAAATTTAACTCAGGAGTAGTTTCAAAGATTTACGCTAAACACCAACTTTGATATTTTGGTAGCAACAATTGTAATTGATACAATATAAGTATCAATTTTAAGTTCTTCTCAAGGCAACGAAATCATTTCTGAACTGAAAGCTGAGCAGCAGACAATTAATTTCTTTTCCTGACAGTTTTATTAATCAAACCACACTCGATTACCTGTGCAAATTCTAATGTTTTGCTAATTTTGGCAGATTTTTTTTATATCTTCAATTATACAAACGTCTATTTTTCTGCTAAACAACAAAAGTGTTTGTTAGTCAAATTGATTATTGCACGTCAATAGAATAACAACAGGTGAAACTATTAGTCTAATTAGCAAACTTTAAATGATCGGTTACAAAGTTTTATCAGTGATAATTAATGATTATCAGTCGTTCAAAATATAATATCTGTAAATTGAAAAATGCAACAACAAAAAAGAGAGAAAAAGAAAAATTTTCTTGTCACAAACAATTATACCACGGAGAAGTACTTTCGTCTATACTTTTACTTTTTTTTTGTTTGAAAAAAAAAGTAAAAAAAGTAGAAAAAG